TTTCAAATCAGGGTATAACGGCTCCGTTGAAATGTATGTAAGAGCAGAAGTAGGCAAGACAGAACTCATAAAGCGTTTATGTTCTTGACAAAGGCGGCGATCAGCCAAGTCGATTTAGACCGTCCTTCCATAAGTATGAACGCGTCAATCTCAGAAAATATAAGAGTTAGAGACTTGAAATTTGTTTTGGTAGGTCCGTATATACCATGCGCACATCAAATTTATATCCAAAAATCGATAACTACTCCGTTTTCGGTTATCGATTACAACCCATATCAAAAAATAGTTATAAACTTATATCTCTTGCATCTTTAGAGCGAGAGTCTTTGAATTTTAAATATAGATTCGTATATGTTTTATAGAATTTCGAAGCAATATTGAAATATTTACTCGAAGGGTTCAGGGAATCTCGTAGTCAAGCAGTCTTGACTAGAGCTTTCTTACTTGTTTCTCTTTTTTTCCTATATAAAGCACATTACTTGTGTACAACATGCATTCAAAGTGGCTTGAGCATGTGTGATCTTTGTTGGGAGCACTTAGACCTTATCAACGAGTTTAAAACTTGTACTGGCTGACATCCATTAATTAAGGCAAGGCGCCACGGCGCGTCGCCCCAGTGGTCTGTCTTGCGCCACCAGACGATACAACACGAAGTCCTTACATGCAGCACTCGAAGTTGAGCAGAGCGAACTGCAGTTGACCAAACAACACCTGCTGCCCAGCTGGCAATGGCCGCAAGGCGACTTCCGTTTCCTTCCACTGCTCAGCTCGTGCGCACCTTTTTTTACTTTTACTTAATTTTCCCTCACATGGCGCCCAGCTCCCACTGCAGCTGCAGCTCCAGACAGTCCATCCGTGTACACGTCAGCAAGGACATTATTGCCGCTGTTGTTGTCCGGCTGCAAGCGGATGCCTGATGGCTGTCGGCTGGCTGATGGGTTTGTTGGCCGCTGTTGCACGGGCTGCTATTATAACGCCATTTTGTGCACACACACACACAGTCTGTCTCTCTCTCTCTCTCTCCCTTCGGCTGGTCACTAATTTTTTACACATTTTTCAACTCTCCATTATCCTTGACTATATTTTTTTTCGCTGTTGTGTTTTTTCCAGAACGACACGATGCGCTTGCTTTACATGTATCACGCACAGGATCCACCGCACGGCTCAGTGCGCCCTGGCACCCTGCCCGATCCGGAGCGAGCCTTTCGTCCCTATCGGCCCATGGTGCTGATGCAGCGCGCCCAGCTGCAGCTCCCCTCGCCGCACGACGAGCGCGTCCGTGTGCTGGAGCTGCGTAATGAGGACGTGGAGCTGCCCGCCGGCGATACGCCGCTCTTTTGGTGCAAAATGTTCAAGCTGGAGGATATCAATCGCAAGCATCATCTCATTCGGGTAAGACCCGTGGCCCGTGGCCATGACTAAACGTTAATACTTATATACAATTCATAATTGAGGCCAAGTGCAGTCTGCTGCATTCGGTATCCATTTTCTTTTCTCTACTGTTTTGTTCTCTCTTTTTTTTGTGCTTCTTCGCCTCGGCATAACCAAATTGAAATATTAAAAATTTATTTATCTCTGTCTCTCCAACGCTCTGCCACGCTCTCCTTCTGCCCGGATTGTCTCTGGCTGGCGCTCATTTTCTTTTCATGGGACCGACAGTACGAGCCGATTTATGATTCATCGTCCAGCGTACACTACTTGCAGCACATAACGCTCCACGAGTGCCAGGGGTCGCACTCGGAGCTGGAGGAGCTGGCACGCGAGCAGGGCAGACAGTGCATGGGCGCCCGCTCCATACCGCTGGCATGCAATGCCATTGTTGCCTCCTGGTCGCGGGGCAGCGAGGTAAGCATCTGATTCAACTGCACTCAACTCAGCTGAACTTTCTCATCCCCATGGCCATCAGTGTCAGAACCATAACCATGCAATATTCATTTAACCTTCGCAAATGCTTCCTTTCAACACAAAATACAAGTTAGCTGCTGCAGCGGAATACGAAATATTACATACCCTTAAATGGAAATACGGTTTCGGATTTGTGAATCCTGGGAGAGATACCTAGATTCCTATTGCAAAGAACTAATGAAAATAGTCAACAAGGAATATAGTCTGGAAATTGAATAAATTTTCTTCAGTTCAGTCTCTTCCATATATCTTTACTAGAGTATTCAAATATAAAGATCCATTTATGTTTCATTATCAATCACATTCAATATCATTTATAGTTGCAGGGTATTTAATACCCTTAAAGGAAGAAATACAAGGAACTGTATGCAAAGATCTAAAAGTTTAAAGGGAATTCAGTCTACTATTTGAAAGACTTCTGCGCCAGTTTAGTCTCTTCCACAGTCTTATATATTATAAAGATCCACTTCTGCTTCATTATCAATGCAATCTCATATTCAGTTACATGCTGCTCTTCTTTTTGGTAGACCCCACCAAGTGCATTCGCTAGCTACTCGAGCTCAATTTCTGTCAGTGTATATTCACGAAAAAAGAAATGGCTTGGCCTTCTGCACTTTCGGAACCTTTTTGCCATGCTTTTCATAATTTCATCACAGGATCGCTGCCATAATGCAGTGCCATGTGCTGCCGCCAGGGGGCGCTACAGACTGCATTGCAATGCAATTGAATGGCAACGGCTTGCGTGGTGACTAGGTCCGAGGCAACGCCTGCGACAGGAGCTGGGGCAAGGCTTTGGGGCTGCTGCTGCTCCTGCTGCTGCTGCTGCTGCTGCGCATTTAAATTGCACATGACCATGGCATCAACTTCCGTCCTTTATTTGCCATCCATAGTGTATATAAATACGTGTGCATATACATATATATATGCAGACCGACATATATAAATATGTATATTACAAACAACAGTCGTAGCTTCTTTTTTATATGCACTGCTTCAAAGTGAAAACGGGTATATTAGTGTTATGAAAGGTCTAGAAAGACATAGACATAGACATATTAGAGATTTGATAAGAAGAGAATTAATTCTCTAACAGATAATTTATCCTCCATCAGCTTATCATCATCATCCGTACAGTGCATTGCGCAGTTGGTGCAACTCGACCCGACTGACTCCTTTTCCTATTTTTGGCGAGAGCTTTTGTTTCATTTGTTTGTGTTTGTGTTTTGCAGGGATTTACGTATCCACACGAAGCGGGCTACCCGATTGAGTCGCGACAGGCCAAATATTATTTAATGGAGACCCATTACAACAATTTGAAGCCGGACTTTGCCCAATTGCATGCCAGACAAATGGCGGATAATTCTGGTTTGAAAATCTACTTTACGCACGTGCTGCGACCAAATGACGCTGGTATTTTGTCAATCGGTAAGTTTTGGCTGGGGTATATACTACTACATACACATAGATATCTATATACATATATGTGCAAATGTGTGTGTGTGTGTGTGCATGACTGCAGTGCCTGCTGCTGTCTGTATAAATTTTATGCGATGTGATGGGATGCGATGCGATGCGATGCGATCCGAGCTTTCATATATGCAACTCATGTCATGCAATTTATGAGATTGCCGAGTCCAAAAAACGACCCTGGGAGTTGCTCCATCGGAAGCGGGGGCTCCAGCCCTGCCGCACAACTGCCAACCACATTGGTGGCGAGTAAAACAAAAGCTTATGAGTTTTGTGTCCATACATAAAAATGGGAGAGTGTGAGTGCGAGTGAGTGAGTATGTGTGTGTGTGTGAGTGTGTGTCTGTCTGCGCTGTGGGCAAAGGTAAGTCCTGGCGGAACAGTTGAAACAACAGCCTCGTACATTGTCTATCGGGCTAGACTGCTTTCACGATTTTGTACAATAGAAATATATTTTTAATTGCTTATCAAGTGCGCCTCGGAGCTTGCAGAGCAGACCAAACAAACGGCATTTGTGTGTGTGTGTATTCCTTTTTTTTTTTTAGTGAATAATTTATTATTAAATGGCGCACAGTGCACGCATAAGGCGCATAAATAAATTTATAATGACCATCTAAAACTTTGTAGCATTCATTAATCGAATTATTATTAATTTAACTGGCCTATGAACTTGTGAGGGTTGAAAATACGTCAATTAAATTTAGTTTGAATATTTGTAATGACACGAGGCAGCCACGAGGGCTAATTTGATATTATATAGTTAGGGAGGTATAATTATTAAGAATTGAGTTTTGGTATTTCAATAAAGCTCGTAATATTGTCTATAATTTATTTGATGTAGCCCTCGATTGCCTCAATTGGTTTTTATGGGCGATTCTCTCACATTTAGTTATATATAAACTTGCCCACTTTATCTATTATATAAGATCCCATAATATTATTATCAAAATTATGGTTGTTATCAATCAATCCGAGCATTCAGAAAAAAAGGCGTTCAGTAATTCAGCCTCACTCATTCAGCCGCTATTGCAACAAGCGAGTCGTCAATCAGTTTCTCAATCGATCGGAATATGTCAGCGTAAGGTCAATCAACAGTCTTGCAATCGATTACTCATTATTTCAGTAAGTCAGTCAATCATACAATCTGAAAGTCAGTCTATAAGTCTCTCAGTCAATCATCTTTATATTTATTGTCCGACATTCTGCAACAATCAATTCATCTTTAAGACAGCTAAACAATCAGTCAGTTATTAAGTCGTCAAATCAATTTATTCACCTTTTTCAATCAATCAATCAGATAATCAGTCAATCAGACAGTCAGAAATTCAATCAGTCAACCTATGAGTCTGTCAATCAGTCATCCATTTATTGAGTAGCAGTCAATCAGCAGACTATTATCAATCAGTCAGTGTGTCAGTCAATCAGTCAAGAAGTCAATCAATCAATTCGCTCAGTCAGCAAACAATCAGTCAATCAATCAGACCAATGTAAGACGTGCTATATTTGCTCTCCGTAGATTCCTCAATCGGTCAGTCTATCAGTCAATCAATCAATCGCCAATACAACTATTTAGACTACAAGCAATCACTTTTATTCAATTACACTTTACGTATATACTCCTGACGTAGATTGCCAATATGCAGTGAAAGTTTTCAGGCAGCCCTCGCCCCAAAAGCCACAACAAGAATATTCGTGTGCTCGCCTAGCTTAAGCGCTTTTTGAGTACATTTCCCGCTGACTTGGTACACCTGAACCACCACCACCCCAACCGCTTCGCAAGCTCAACAAATTTTCAGGTTTCCCCCCATCCTCATGTATCTATGTGTGTGTATGTATGTATGACTGTGCCTGCGCACAGGATAACTAAAATACTAATTTCACTTTACAATTTGTTTTCTATTTTTTTGTTCTCTCTCTCTTTCTTTTTATTGTACTTTAACTCCCTCTACTGCATCTATTTCTTGTTGTTCGGCTTTTGGTTGCTTCGTTTGGTTTTTCTATTTGCTTGTGGCCACCAGCCGGAGTGGGCGGGCCACTGTGGTCGCTGTTGTTGTTGTTGTTGCTGTTGTAGTTGTTGTAATTGTTATTTTACTTTTGTTCATAGTCACGCAAACCAATATAACTTTGTTACAACCGCACAGAGACATGGCCAAACACAGTTGGGACTCCCTCTGTCGTGTGTGTGTGTGTGTGTGTGTGTGTGTGTGTGTGTGTGTGTGTGTGTGTGTGTGTGTGTTTGTGAATAGGAAGTAAGAGAATAAGCCATACAGGATGAGGGTATAGAGGCTAGAGGCCCCAAGCTGCTCACACTTCAACCATCGCACGTTCTCGTCGATGCTTTTTGAGTAGGTGTTGCCAAAACTTCCGGAGCATTACGGCACAAAAGTAGCAGAAGTAGATTAATACATTCTGATACGCTGCAATTTCTAAGCGAATCAACTAAAATAAAAAATAGCAGTAAATACAAAAAAAAAAATATATAAATATATACATACATATATAAATACATGTATATGTATGCCACGTCATGCAGCTAGCTTTAGAACTCCCTGGTTATGCTCGAGTGGGCTTTGCTCTGCAGCTCTTCGAGCAGCTGGCAATGCGATTGAAATATTTAATTGAAATTTAACGCATACCACAACAAGCCAGTCAATAAATAAAAATACATACCTACATCTGTATAAAAAATTAAGCAATATATATATAAGTATATGTATATACATATATATATATTCGATATATTTTGCTGGCACGCTATAAATTGAATTACGTTGGCTCTATGCGGAGTGCGAGAGGGGGGGTGGTGGGTTGGCGGGGAGGTGTATGGCAAAGCTGCTCGACGCAGCACGCGTAAGTAGCTGTGAAATTGCTACGCTTCCTGCTGCTGCAGAACTCTGACTGTCTGCCCATAGATCTGTGGGTCTCTCCGCTGGGCCCTGCTCTCTCCCGCTCGCGCTCTCGCACTCTCGCCCTGTGTGTCTCTGTCGTCCGTGTGGCAAAATTTAATTTCAATTTAATTGGTTATTGATATAGCGCCCTGGTGTATGCAACGCCGCTTTGATTAATGTTGCTGCGGCTTGGCGAATTTTTTATGGCACCTTGGAGATGGCGCATGGAGAGCCCGATTGGAGCTTATCAAACAGCCTACGAGCCTGTTAGGCCCACTGGGGCTTATAAACGAAAAGCTTAAAGAAACAAAAAAAAAATTAAATGAATATGAATAAATTGATGAAAATTGACAGAAAATTCCTTTAAAAATTACAACAAAATAATTTGAGGGAACTGCCAGAAATTTCTTTAGGTTCTTTAAATATATTATAGATAATATATATATATGTTTAAATTTTTATTAGAAATCAGCAATATCTAGGAATCAAACAGATCGTTTCTGCATTTCAATATAAATCGGAATTTTATGGTTCATTGCGCCATTTTCAATTCAATTTTCAATTACGAATACGTATTCTAAATTGAGGGCCTGTGGAATGAACAGCTAAAGCGAGTCCTGTCCCATTTTATCTGCTGTTGGTCATTTTATAAAATGTCACGAAATGAAATCAATCAATGTGCTGTACGCCGTCCACTGCGTGAAATCATCATCAATTTAATTCCAAAATGCAATTCATGCGCATTTATCAAATTTTGTGAATTAAAGTCGTGGACAACTTTCGACCGATTGACAGTGCGAATATCACGAAAGAATTGCGATTGTGCCATGCGTAATTTAATTAGTGCATCTAAAGCATTAATTAGCTTCTTTTTTCCATTTGCTCTGCCCTTGTTGAAATGCAGTCATAGAACATTTTTTGGTTCCAAAAAGTGAGCTTTGGAAATGTTTATGAAAATCAACTGTGACAGAGATTTCAATAACACTTTGCAACATAAATTACAGTCAGCGTTTGTCACTCTCTCTCTCTATCTATCTAACTGTCTCTCTCTACTCTCCACTCTCTTTCGTTCTTTGAATGCTTTTTGCCAATTTCCATTCATTAAATCAAATTCAATATTGGCCAAAGCAACGCAACGAGCCAGAGTTTGATTTTCAGCTTGGCTCTGGTGTTTGGCTTGGGGGCTGGGGGTTGGTATTGGGGGTTGATGGTTAGGGGTTGGCGAGCTGTATGTCGAGGGCTTATAGTTTGGTCTATTCGGCTCCATATCTATTGCGATTTCTATTTGAGTTGGCCGTCAAGCCTAACACAATTCATAAATGCATATTTTTCAAATCGATATTTAACATACGGACAGTGGGCGTGGCCGTGGTTTGATGTTTGGTCATTTCGATTGACGTTGCATTTGCCCCACGCCACGTGATTCGAAACGCAGGCCGTATCAAAAAATCAGCAGCAACTTTTCTAATTATTTTAAATGGCGATTTGCGTCGCACCTGGCGCACCTGCTGCAAAAACTTTATCTCGATTCAGAGCTATTCGGGTCAACATTTTCGCTTTTATCTTCATTTTTCTGTTTTATTTATAACAATTCGATTGGCCTTTTGGCCAGGCCGTGGATTTGGCCATTGCCTTTGCTGCGAGATAGTTTCACTAAAGCGCATTTGCCACAGTTGCAAAATATTTAATGCTAAATATTTGGCTAATTTAATGGGGATCTGTGCGACTCGCCACGGGCTAAACAGCGATTGTCATGCAAGCTGTCGCTGCCAGCGCTGAGCCTCAAATTAAAATAGATTTTATTTAGTTTAATGCCCGATACGCCCAGCAGAGCTGTAATTGAAATATATATAAATTTTCAATTATATATATATAGATTTTTTTTTCAGAAATATATCCGCGCAATCGTAAATTGAAATAATGTTTGCATAAAGCCAAATGAAACCGAAAAATAAAAATTTTATTATAAAGCCAAACTTAATTGAGGAATTCCCAAATTGCAGTAGAGTTTTCAATTGATTGGATATTTACATGGAATTATACAGGGCTTTCCATATTCCACTACAATCCAGGCAGACTTAGTTGACTCTTTGTCCGTAGTAACTCACCTCCACGAATTTTATATCATTTCTGACTTTCAGTAAAATCTTCAACTGAAACATAAAGTTAGCTTTGCTTTATATTTATATCTTTATCTATAGCCACATAAAATATAAATAGTATTTCATAAATATGAGCCTTAGCTCGTGCTTTCAGTTGTTTTTCAAGCAATGCCATTTGCTTTGTCATTCAGTGGCTGCTCAATAAATAATTCACAATGGTGGGCGCGAGTTGATTCGCAGTTTTATCAGTCATATTTCGTTATGCAACAGCTCGCACCGCAAATCCTGAAAGAGAACAAAATGTGACTTGTGCGCCATTAAAATTGCATTGCAGTGCTGCGACTTGGCGCTGCGAGTATTACAGAAATGCAATCAACTCGATGTCACTCGCAGCGCTCGCCGTATGTGGAATGTTGCTAACCGAGCATGACTAAGCTATAAATATACACATGCAATTCCTTTACCGTAAAAAGGCTTTAAAAAACAGACGCCCATGCGGATTCACAATAAAAATCAATTGCCGACCGGGCCATAAGGGGAATGGGGCACGGGAGAGAAAAGGGGTTTTCTCTTTTCGCAAGCAATGCCAAGCATTTGACGCGGGTAATTTGATTGGCATACTCACAGCAACACACACACAGACACACACACACATACATAAGCAATTGAAATGCCAAACAGTGGTATATAAAAATATGTGGCACACATGAATTTCAAATATTTTTTCAACATGACGCGCGACACGCGGCCCTAATTGCGTAGCCAAGTCGAGTGGAGTCGAGTCGAGTGGAGTCGAGTCGAGTTGAGTCGAGTCGAGGAAGCTAGCTCCGAGCCGTGCAGCGCGTCGTATGAGCAATATTTCGCAACATTTAACTAATGGATATCGCGCATAACAAATTCAGTTAAGGCAAACAGAAAGAGAAAGAGATAGAAGGAGACAGAGAGAAACTCATTCACACACATAATTCGATTACCGAAAATTGTTAAAAGACTAGAAAGATTCCTAATTGATACGGATGCAGCCTCGCTCTCTCAGTCTCCCACTCTCCCTCTCTCTCTCTCTCTGTTGGCTGTTGGTTTGTGCTGCGTGGTGCTGCTGTCATTTGGCGGTTTTGTCTGCGTTGCTGCACTGACAAAGTTGTTAACAAACATCAAAAGCAGCAATTAAAATGTAATTACACGTTTCCCTCCAAATCGAATTAAAAAATCAGCGTTCAAAGCTAAGTAAGTTGAGTGCTTGGCGCTGCTCTGTCTACCATCTATGTGTGCATATATGTGTGTGTGTTAGTGTGAGTGTGTGTGTGTGTGTGTGGGGAATTGTGCATGTCGTGGCTTTGATAAAGCGCGCTTTGCGCCACTCTAAAGCGTTAATTAAAAGAATTCAACACACGCTCTCCCAACATTTGCAGGCATGGATCCCAACTGGCGCCACATTATACCGCCGGGACAGAAGCGCGTGATATCCGAGGGCCAATGCATTGAGGACTGCACCGGCTACGCCTTTCCCGGCCAGGGCATCAACATTTTTGCGGTCATGATGCGCACACATCAAATCGGCAAGGAGGTTAAGCTGCGTCAGGTGAGTGAATAGAATGTCCCGGACTCCGCACTCTGCACTCTGCACTCTGCTCTCCGTAGTCTGTAGTCTGCATCCTGCCAGCTGCCCAGATTTCCGCTGGGTATTGAGGGCAGAGCTAAGCCAAAGCCAATGCTAATGAGCAAACTAACTTTGCAGATACGACAAACCGAGGAGCTTCCGCCAATTGCACACGACAGCAATATAGATGTGGCCTATCAGGACTTTCGACGTTTGCCACAGTCGGTGCATTCCATGCCCGGCGATAGACTCATCGCTGAATGCATTTATGACAGTTCGTCACGAAAGGCAATTACGCTAGGTAAGTGCTCCCTCCCCCCTCTCACCCGCAGGGCCCTGGCAAATATATATATATATATAGAGAGAGAGAGAGAGGTAGAGTAAATAAAAAATAGCAGGCAGCCATTGTCGTGAGCAAAAGTGCAAAAATTTCAATGCTCAACCGTCCGGGCAAACAGGCGAGTCGTCGTTATGACACATTTAAATCAGCCCAAACGATATGCGACAGCCGGCTGCAAGGAGCCGTAAAGTAAAAAGGCGAGCAACTGCAGCAACGGAGCAAGACTCAGGCTGAGAAGCGAGAAGCGAGAAACGAGAACTGGGAGCTGAGAGCCAGGCACCGTCAGTTGGAGCAGCGAAATGAAAAAAAGTTAAACAGAATTCAGTGCACGACAGGCGCCTGGCAAGTAGATGAAGGCAACAGTAGATGCCGTAATGGAGGAGTCGCTGACGACCTCATTGTAAAATACATAAACCAAGACATTGAAACATTTCACTTAGCACGAAACAGTCAGGTGTTAAGCGGGGTGCAGCTGCACAATTGCACGAGTAATGTGAATGTGTGTGTGGGTGTGTGTAAGTGTGGGCGTGTGCAACTGTGGGTGACGGGACGAGCCAAGTGACAGGCGGTGAAACCAAGCTGAACTGACAGCTGAGCAAGTCCCCAGCAAAGTGGACAATGTGACAGACAGTCAGATGCGAACGAGTAGCGCATTGGTCCAATCCATAAGGAAGGGGAAGTGGGAAATGGAACGTAATAATATGCAACAGACAACAATGAGAAGAAGTTGATCACAGCATAAATGGTTATTCATTAAATGAAGTGCAGGAAATT